CAGACACGCACACAAAAAAAAACTTTTTCCAGATCTACTTATGTAACCTTAAAAAACAGCATGCCCTGGTCCTTCATCTCCTACTGATAACATTATTAGGGTCTCTTTCCCCTAAGTGAGTAGTGTGTCTTTTTAGAAGATGGCTGAGTGCTTCAGGTAGATTTGGAGAAGGATTAATATTTTTACAGTGCTTTGAAAATGCTATTGTAAATGCTAAGTGGTGTGTGTTGCCATGTGAGGGACCTGAACCTTGATCCCAGAGTGTATCGAAGTTCTTTCAAAGCCACCCTAATGGTGAAGGTGAGGATTCCCCCAGGACAGTGGAATTCTCAGTAGCTTTACACCACCCTCTCCCCCAGAGCTGTAACTAGACATTTTAGCATCTGGGGCGAGCAAACGTATTTGTGCCCCCTGCTGGTTTGTTTGTTTATTTATTTTGGCATTTCTCCATCCCATTTTTCTGCCCCCGTGGCTTTGCACCCTGAGCAGCTGCCCCGCTCGCCCTGCCCTAGTTAAGGCCCTGTTCTCCCCTATACTTCAGCAGCGGAAACAGGGTGTGGAGATAGAGGGTGTGTGCCTGAGTGCCGCGTGGTATGGCCAGACCTCATTGGTGGCTCATAGGGAGCTGTTCCTGTTGGTATAAACTTGGTCTGATTTATCGTATTTGGATAAAGAATGGGTTAAAGCAGCAGTGGGATGGGGTGAGGGAGAACATGAAGTATGGTCTTTCCATAGCTCTTACTTTTCTAATATTTTTTCCTTTGACACAAGAAAAGAAAACCGATGTGAATTTAAGATTTACCCACTGGGAAACTGGCACAAAAAAAGGACCATCTTGTATCGAACTAAATTACATATGAGCTTTGGGAGAGACATTTATTTTTGATGCGGATGAGGCTGGGAAATGTTTAGAAGCTCAGCTTATGAAATATTCAGGGGAGGATAACAGATCTGTAGATAAGGGTATTTTGAAAGAGACAACTTATTTGCTAGGGCTGAGCTGGCAGGTTAGGTAAAAAGCTGAGCCCATCTGGTTTCAGTTGAACAAACTCCGCTTCTGAGAGTTTGGGTTCAGGAGACTTGACTAATGTCCCCCTTACATTTGCATATGCAGGGGCATGCATTCAGTGCACTATGCTTTATAAGAGGGAAGGAGAGTGGTCTAGTAGGTCAAGTGTGGAAGTCAGGAGATCTGGCTGCTCTGCCACAGACTTCCTGTTTGACTTTGGGTGTGTCACTTAACACGGCCTCATTGTTCCTTTCCATAAAATGGGCTTAACACCTGCCTCACCAGGATGTGTTAAGTCTTATTTCACTAATGTTTATAAAGGGCTTTGAGAACTTCAGACAGAAGGTGATACAGAAGGGCAGAGTATTATTCTGGCATTAATTATACACGCTTCTAGCAGAATTCACTCATTCTCCCCCCAACCACCTCGCCCCTGAGGACCTGTGCTCTAGAAAAGGCTTTGAAGTGTGTGGAAACAGCCTTCTGAAAGTATCCCTTATGCAGAGGGGACTGCCTATCTGGTGTAGTGCTTGTGTCAAGGTTCCCTGTTCTCAGCCCTGGTGTAGAAGATGGAGTGGCAGTGTAAAGAGGGTGGATGGAGAGTGTGACCAGAATGCACTATGTTACAACTAGTCTGCTTTCCAGGGTGCATAAGGGGAAATGGGAAGTAGAGTATAAATCAGAGCAACCCTTAAGATGCTCTAACACAAGGGGACCAAGGAGGAATATCGTGAGTGCAAAGAAGGCTTAAAACCACCTTTTGTCTACCACTACCACCACCTCATCCTCAGCCCAGGCACAGGAACGGAGTAATTGAGAATTACCCCCCTCCCCACTGTCTGTCCCAGCAAGTAGTACATAGATTATCAGGGGGTAGCCGTGTTAGTCTGTATCCACAAAAGCAACGAGGAGTCTGGTGGCACCTTAAAGACTAACAGATTTATTTGGGCATAAGCTTTCGTGGGTAAAAAACCCACTTGTCTTTAAGGTGCCACCAGACTCCTCGTTGTTTTAGTACGTAGATTGAAAGTCAGGTATTGACTGTGAACTTAGGATGCTGCTAGTGGCGTATCTAAATCTGCCAGAAGTTTTTCTCAATGGCTACAGGGGAACATGCCTTTTTGAAAATGCTGACGTGATGAGAATGTTAATCAGTAAACTGGTAGAATTAGAGTTGTGGGAATAGCCAATCTTTCAGTTTGGTGGCAGAACTGCAAAATTGCAGAAAAACTAGTTTTGGGTCAACCTGAAATGGAACTATTTACATTTTTTTGGTGACATGAATTTTTTGCAGGGGGAACTTGTCTCAGATCAACCAGTATGTAAATTTACCCCAACCCCAAATTTAAAACAAGTAAAATTCCAAAACAAAAATGTGTCAATTTGTAAAATGGAAACATTTCATTTTGAAAATGTTAAAATGCTTAGAAATGCAGGTCTTGAAAATTAACTCTTTTAGAGCACTCCCATTAAAATACAGCCAAGGGTCAAATGATCCAAGCAACATCATTCCTCACTTTTTTTTCCCCCCACACACAGGTGGATTCTGATGACACGATTACCACGGAGGAGCAGATTTATCTTCTCCTGGAAGCCAAAATCCAGTGTGAACTGAACATCACTACCCAACTACAAGAAGGAGGTGAAGTACCTGAGCAACTGATTTCTTTCTTTTTCCCTACAGCAGCAGTACTAATGGGGTGTCAAAGCTCAGGATATCAATGCAGAAAGATCCCAATTTTTTTCTTCAGCATTTCTCTTAATTAAATCAAGTGTGTGTGTGAAATGTGCCTTTAATAGACATTCCTTATTTCTCTTTCTCTCCCCATTTATCTCTAAGACTCAAGCAGACAAGGTTGCACATAGGCTGATGCTTCAAACTGATCAAGGCTTTTGAGCCTTCTTTGATATCTGTAGTTAGTGAGGTTCCAGTCACTGGAATTCATTGATGTGCATGAGATGCCACGTTCTCTTCATAGTTTGTTTTATTATTCTACATTGCTGTAGAGTTAAGCTTAAAGGTGAGCTGAAAAGCGTTTTAAAAAACCTGCCTTTTTTGCTCTTTTGGGAGAGATTTTATCTCTGCTATCATGAACGTCCAGTTTGATCTTTCCTGGTTTGCTAGGTCTCAGACATCTCTGTTGTTGTTGTTGTTGTTGTTTATTTATAACACCTGAATTGAAAGTACCAGGCTACAGAATCTTTAACAAAGCTTTCTTTTGTCTAAAATGTTAGCCATTGAACTTAAATAGTTGTTAATTAAGACAAATCAAATATCAAGACTTAAAATCCCTTCTTCTGTCAGGTGATCAACTTTTACTTTGTTGGCTCTTCTGACATCCCAATAGCTGAGCAAATGGATTTAAAAAATTTTTGTTTTTGTTTTTGTTTTTTGTTCGGAGCTGAACTGAAAAATGCAAAGTTAAATGTTGTGTAGAATCCAACTAAACACTTTGTTCAACCTGAAACAATTGCGGGTGGGATAGTTGTCTTTCGCCCTTTTTAATTAACTAAATTTCTATATGAAACACCATTTCGAAATGAGAAGTTGAAATGTTTCACCGTTGAAATTGCTGAAATGAAATGCTTCATTTCAAAAGGTCAAAACCTTTTTGTTTCAGAAGCAGTGAAACAAAATATTCCAAAAAATTTTTTTTGGCTGAAGTTACTTGCCAAATTAGACCCGAATGTGTGTGTGAATATTTGCCCAAAGCAAAATTCACCCAGCTCTAGACATCACCATTTCACTAGTGCTGCATTTTTCATGGAGAGTTCTAGCCAAGTCAGAACTTGAATTTCTAGGTTTCCTGATTCTTTTCCTACTTACACTAGTGTTACCTCACTATAACTCTGTTGGCTTCACCAGTTGAAAATCTGGCCTCTAGAATTTAGAAAAGATCTGCTAGTCTATCTCCCTGTCACTACAGGATGAATTCCTACAAAACACATATCCGTGCGCTCTGCACCCTATTTTTAAAAAACACCCCATATTGTATAACCCCATTTACATGAAATGCTTCAAAGACCTCATAAATAGCCCATGAAAGCTTATGCTCAAATAAATTTGTTAGTCTCTAAAGTGCCACAAGTACTCCTCGTTCTTTTTGCATAAATATTGAGATACTCTTGGGAGTGATTAGAGAAGAGATTTATATTGGAGTAAAAGGAGTTTTGGATAAAAGGGAAACCATAAAATTAGCCTTTGCTTTGTTTTCCTTTGGTTTTGTCTAAATAAGAAAACATGTCTTCTGTACATACATATTATTACTGTCAGTAACAATGTCTTGTTATGGTTGCTATTACAATCTCACAAATAATACTAATGCCAGGTGTAATAATAATAATATCACTAATAATAGTAATCATGGTTTCCATGTTTTTTGAAAGAAGGATGAGTAAGAAGAAAGACAGCTACACTACTACATTTTTTAGAATATTGTCTGTAAATGCCACTGCTTTTTTTTTTTTTAAAGACATATAATTAGTTTCATCGTGAAATGTATGAAGATTTCGGGCGAGATCATTTATGGTGTTTGTTTAGAGGAAATTGGCAAGTTAATATTCAACTGAACATAAAGTATTTTTTTCCCTTCTACCAGATAATGTATGTGAACTATTTACATGTACGAAACAACTCTCAGTGAACGAAATACTTACCAAAGCCTGTTTTCACGAGAGTGCCACAAAAAGTCCAATGGCTTAGGTCATGTGAGTTACAGTAACACACAAACATTTCTGTCGAGATGCCACAGAAAAATAAATATTAGGTCCTGAGATGAAATCCTGGTTCATATTTCACGACAGTACTTAAACATGTGCGTAAATCAATCGTTATTCCAGAAAAGATTTAGGTACATCCTTAACTTTAAGAACACGCTGTACAAAAATGTGTGTAAGTGCTTCCTGAATAAGGATGCTTTCTTTACAATGCTGTGCATTTGAAAGAACCCCGTTCTTAGGAAGTGGTGTTTCTCCAAATTTACACTAGTGTAACTGAGATCAGTGTCTGGCCCTAAAGCTTTATAGAATGAGTTAAAAATAAATATTTAAGAAGCCCCGAAGTTAAGATTTTTCTTTGATCTGCTTTTTTGGTGGTAGTGACCTCCTGTAGTGGACCTGAAATAATATATGAGCCTTTTATACTTATTCTTAATAGTGAAGTCCCTGACAAGTGTGATTCTTAATGGATGAAACATGTAATGACCTGGAACAATCTTTAACCACGCACAAATTACTGGATCAAAAGTTAATCAGATTTTACGTTTATTCTAACGCCAACACCTTTTAAGCAGCCAAATATAATTGGGTATACTTTGTTCTGAGACTAGATATATTGAGCCAGTGAATGAAGGGTAAGACAGTTGGTTGCTATTTCTTTAATAGAATAATTTCAATTATATTTCCAGAAAGGTTGTTGAGTCTCTGTTCTGCACTGATGAATGACATGTATTTCTCACTGGGTGAATAAAAGAGGCAGGCTAAGTGATGTGGAGAGTTTAAGGCCCGGTCTGTACTACAAAGTTAGGTGGACATAAGCTGCCTTCCATCAGCACGTGTCTACACTTGAATTTGTCTCCCACCAATGCAAGTACCCTGTTGTGGTGACACAGTCACACCGTGGCATAGAGCCACGGTTGATGTACTGAGATCAATGCAATGTGCACGTAGACACTGTATGTCAGTCCTAACAGTCCTCCAGCAGCTGTCCCACAATGCCCGACACTGACCGCTCTGGTCACAAATGTGAACTCCACTACCCAGGGGGGTCAGGGACAACGGAAGCCTCTCTTCCTTCCACCTTAAAACCTTGTGAATTTTTGAAATGCCTTTTCCTAATTGCCCAGCTTGATGAGCGCACGTCGCAGCTCTCTATTGTTATGTGCAACTGCCCAGCTGACCACGCCGGCTACATGCTCCAGATGCACTCTGGCCTGGAGTAGAAAGGAGATGTTGGCTCTCCTAGGCCTGTGGGGAGAAGAGACTGTGCAGGCACA